TCTTTAAATTTTTCAATAACTTAGATGAAACCTATATATATATTTTTTAATGGTGGTATTTTTTGTTTGACCTTTCTGTGAACGTTTGAGTTCGTTGTTATTTCTAATTAACAAAATGTCCAGGAACGGAAGAGTGTAGTTGGTTTCAGTTTCGAAAGGGAAGTTTTATTGTAGGTTGTTTGGAGAGAAGATCCGTTAAATTGGTGTTTTGGGCTCGTCTATGTATTAGTTTGTAGGGAGAATATTTTGGATAAAAATATATATATAGCAAACCAAATATCGGAGGAATTATCATATATATATATATATATATATATATATATATATATATATATATATATATATATATATATATATATGCGATATTTAGAGGCAGGTTTGCCTGGCTCTTAGGATTATATATATATATATATGTATATATATATATATATATATATATAATGTGTGTGTGTGTGTGTGTGTGTGTGTGAAGATGATGAAACACAGTAGAGAATTTTTAACAACGCGAACCTGTATCCTACACGGGACCATCCTATAGCCTGACGTGCGATGCCATTTAGTTACAGAGGAAGCGTTTGGTTAGCAATATCAAATTACTAATTTTAAACAACAAATTTCATAATATATGACGTCATTTGTTTATTATTAGTACATTTCATAATATATGACGTCATTTGTTTACGTTAAGTTATGAGCATTCGAGGAAAATCATGGGAAATTTGTTGTTTATCAACAGTAAGTTAACAGGTTCGATTCCTGTCGGAGGACGCATATTTTTATGAAATTTCTTGGACATTCAGGCGGGAAAATTTAGTTAATACTTTTTATTATAAACAGAGCATTTACTTAAATATTTGTATCGATAAAAATAACATATAAACAGTATATATATATATATATATATATATATATATATATATATATATATATATATTATAACTTTTTCATATGGACAAAAACTATTTACTCACGAAAAAGATGCAACTTCGTTTCGGTGCATTTAATTGCACCTCGACTGGTGAGAAGGAAAATGGTTCTGAACAATTTTGTTTGTAAGCAGGCCGCACATGGCACATCACTTCATTTTTTTCTATTTTTCTTAGGAAGTGATGTTCTACGCCATTAAAGGAGTCAAAGTAAACTTAATATATTTCTATGTTGTTTAGTGTTTAATGCGTCGTTTAAGTAAAATGAAAAATACCCCGGACAGGAACGAGATAGGTCCTACCTCATAGCTATGTGTCAAATAGCAGGGTGAATTGGAGTTTTTAGCTTTGGACTGTGACCAATCTATCAGAGAGAAAGATCAGAGTAGATAACCATAGAGAAGGCAACAGGAAACGACTCCATATCTATAGTAAGAATGCACGGTGATTCACAGATCATAAACAAAAAGAATCTGTGGAGGGCCATAAAAGCCTACGTCCTGAATAGACATAACCTGATTTTAAATATAGAAATCTATGACAGCTTTCTATATTTAAGGCCATGTCTAACCTGGCGTGTCTGTCAATGTGAGTTTGAATAGATAGATAGATAGATAGATAGATAGATAGATAGATAGAAAGGAACAGACTGAGATGGATAGATAATAAATAGACAGAGATAGATAGATAGATAGATAGATAGATGCGAACAGACTGAGAGAGATAATAAAGAGACAGTGATAGATAGATAGATAGATAGATAGATAGATAGATAGATAGATAGATGCGAACAGACTGAGAGATAATAAAGAGACAGTGATAGATAGATAGATAGATAGATAGAAATAAACAGACTGAGATAGATAGATAGATAGATAGATAGATAGATAGATAGATAGATAGATAGATAGATAGATGTGAACATACTGAGATAGATAGATAGGTAGATAGATAGATATGAACAGACTGAGATAGATAGATAGATAGATAGATAGATAGATAGAAAGGAAAGAAAGATATTTCAAACATAAAACACCTATAAATTGATTTAAAGTTGAAAATTGAAAGAATCTGTAAATAAAAGAGATTACTAAGAGAAATAAACGAAAAAAAAGGAGTCCTCTGAAAAATGTAAACCACAACAATATAAAAAGCATCAACAATAAAAAAAAATACAAATAAATAGTCCGAAAAAAATTTAAAAATCCGAAGAAAAAAAACACACACACACACACAAAAAAACGAATCATCCCTTTCTATCATCCAATCCCTGAATGTGTTATGGACACTCAACCTCTGGTCTCCATATTGTCTGGAAGGAATTATTTCATACATCGTACATGTAAACAGCGACACAGGCGCCCCCTAGCGCTAGATCAAAGGCACTAAACTGTGCTTGACGGACGAGTAGGCTCCCTTAGAGGGACTGTGTTTTTTTTTTTGTTTTTTCCAACGCCATAACATAACCAGCATTATTGCATGCGTTCTGCTGCGTCAACGAACCGCAGATTTGCAACGAGCTTCAAGACCCCGGGACGAAGGAGAAGTGCCGTTGGTGGTAGTTAGCCAGATGCTGTTTTTATGACTCGTGCCTTTTTGTGTTTTGTCGACCAAATATTTCATGCTAAATAGAAAATGGATCTTGACTCTGAATCAGCCTTTTCTTCTCCCAACGTTTGCTAAAATTCTCCCAAAATTCAATTTTTTTTAAATACCGATCATAAATTACATTTTTTTTTATTTTTCCTTTTTTTCTCTTTATATTTATTTATTTTTCGTTTTTTACTGTTTTTTTATCTTCTTTTTTATGACTGATTTTTTGTCTTTAAATTTTTGTTTGTCTTTTAAAACTTGTCCCCCTCTCTCTCTTTATTCTTTCTTTCTTTATTTGTAGACATTCTTTTTCTTTCGCAACCTAAAATCTTGTTTGCTTGTGTGTTCTTCATTTCTCTCTTTCTATGCACATTTTTGCTAGTTCTTTTTTTGTTTCTTTTTTTACATTATTATTTATTTACTTTTCTCTCTGATTTTATTCTTTCTTTCTGCCTTTATTTATTTTTTGATTGATTTATCGATATTTAGATATTCTTTTCTTTCTCTCCCTTCAGTTTTGATTGTTCCTTATGTATTGATTGATTTTTAGATATTTTCTTTCTTTCATCTTTTTTCTATGCACATTTTTATCTTACAGTCTTCTTCTTTGTCTTTTAAACTATTATTTATTTTTTCTCTCCCTCTGTCTTTCTTTCTTTTTAAATATTCTCTTTCTTTCTCTCCTTAAACTATTGATTTTTGTTCTTTCTTTCTTTTTCTTTGCATATATTTTTGTTACAGATTTTTTTCCTTTGTCTTTTAAAGCATTATTTACTTTCTCTGTCTCCTTAATTCTTGTTTCGTTCTTGATTTACATGAGAAATTTTTAGATTTACGGCCTTTTTACTCTTCTTTCTTTATTTATTTTTAGACGTTTCTTTTTCCCGCCAATAATTTTCTCTTTTTTTTTTCAAATTTTGTAAGTGTTTTTTTTTTCCTTGATAATCTTTTTTGCTTTGAATATTTAAAATTTTCTATTTTATCTTTTATTCTTGTTTTTTCTTCTTGTAGCTTCTTCAATATTTCTCTGTCATTTTTCCTTCTACTTAATATGTCTTCTTATTTTCTTTTCTCTTTGCCTTTCTTTTCCTTCCTTCCTTATATTCTTACTCTCTTTCTTTCTTTTTAATCTCTTTCTTTCTCTTTATTCTCTTTCTTTTTAGTATGTCTTCCTTTTTTCTTTTCTCTTTACCTTTATTTCTTTCCTTCCTTATATTCTTACGCTCTTTCTTTCTTTTTACTCTCTTTCTTTCTCTTTATTCTCTTTCTTTCTTTTTAGTATGCCTTCCTTTTTTCTTTTCCTTTATTTTCTTTCCTTTCTTATCTTCTTACTCTCTTTCATTTCAGTATGTTTTCACATTTTCCTTTCTCTTTGCCTCTCTTCTTTCCCGTCTTTCCTTCCGTTATCTCCCTTTTTTTTCTTTCAAAGTTTTTTCTGTTTTTTTTTTTCTCTCTCGCTTCATCTATTCTGGTTTCTCGTTTTTATTTTTCGTTCTTTCTTAAGATTAATTTTCATTTTTAATTTCTTTCATTTTTTTCTTTTCAAACATTCCTTCTTCATTCTTTCACAGATTTTCTGTTATATTCACCCTTTCCTTTTTAGTTGAAAGTCAGTTTTTTCGTCGAATTGATTCATTCATTTTATTCAAGACCTAAGTTTATTTATATTCAACCGAGTTGTCTGCATTCTTCCATTTTTTTTTTCTCTCATTTCTCCCTCTCCCTCTATTTACTCTTTTGTTTGTGTCTTCATTAAATGTTTAATTGCTAATGTCCGATTTAGTTTTACATACAATTTTTCCTATTCCTTTTATTTTCTTTCATTTCTCTTTCTTTCTTTTTACTCTCTTTCTTTTTCATTTCTTTCTTTTTCTTTTTTTTCTTTCTTTCTTTCGCCCGCAATTTCCTTTCTTGTTTTTCATATATACCTTTTATTTTTCTCTTTCTTTCCTAATTTTTCTTTTTTCCCCCTCTATCTTTCTTTTATTTTATCTCTCTCACTTCTCCCTCTTCTTCTATTTGCTCCTTTGATTGTGTCTTCATTAAATGTTTAATTGCTAATGTCCGTTTTAGTCATACATACAATTTTTCCTATTCCTTTTATCTTTCTTTCTTTTTACGCTTTTTTCTTTCTTTCTTTCTTTCTTTATTTATTTATTTATTTATTTATTTATTTATTTCTTCAGCATTTTCCTTTCCGATTTTCCCATTATACCTTTTCTATTTTCCTTTCTTTCTTAATTTTTTTCATTTTTCCCTCTCTCTCACTTCTCTCTCTCTTCTATTTGTTCCTGTGACTGGATCTTTCATTTAAATATTTAATGGCTAATTTCCGTCATAGTTTCCTTAATCTTTTTTTCTTCCTTTATTTGTTTTTCTTTCTTTGTTTTTACATTATTTCTTTTTTCTTCTTTGTATTTCTTTATATTTTCTTTTTCATCGTTAAATTAATTCTTGAATTATTTTTCATTCTTTTGCGCAATGTCCTTTCTTTCTAATAAGTGTTTTCTTTCTTCTTTTTTTTTCTACAGTTTTTTTCCTCTTTTTCGACACAACTATTCTTTCTGTTTTCCGCCGCTTTCTTTCTTTCTTTCTTTCTTTCTTTCTTTCTTTTTTCTTTCATCGTTGAATGCTCATTTCTTTTCTTTTACATTCTCTGATCAACATTTTCCTTTTTTATATCTTTTAATTTTCTTTCTTTCTTTAAAACACACTCTTTCTTTTCTTCTCTTGCTTTAGATTCCAGTTACACGTTAATCTCTGACTATTCATATCTATCCCATTTTGATCCTATCTATCTATCTATCTATATCTATCTATCTATCTATCTATCTATCTATGTCAGTCTGTTTCTTTCTCAAACTTGTCTCATCCATCTGTCTATACTTTTCGATTTCGTTATTTCTTTCTACCTTGTCTTTTATTTCGTGTTCCCGTTTCTTTCTTCTACAAAGACCTGCTCTCTTTAATCTCTTTCTTTCATCCATTCTTTCTTTCTATTCAGACGTTGAATTTTATTGTGGTTCTTTTTTTCTTTCTTTCTTTCTTTCTTTCTTTCTTTCTTTCTTTCTTTCTTTCTTTCTTTCTGTTATGGGACCTTACCCATAATAACATAATGGACTATTTCATACGTAATAAATACTGCGCCTTAAGAGAAAGCAGAGAGTCCAGCCCGAAGTCGAGCGACCGGCTGATCGGTTGAACTCTCAGCCTTCGGGTGGGGAGGAACCCGAAAGAGGCTACGCCGAAGGGCGGAGTCTCTTTCGGGGAGGTAAACCGACCCTGAACCCGTTTATACGGGTTCAAAGGGCATATTTTTGGCTGAGCCCAGGGGATCGGAGATCCCACGTTAAACCGGCCTTGTGCCACATGATGCCCTCGTGGTGGGGGTGACTAAATACCGTTCTGTCTGAAGTCTGGAGTGCGGTCCGTCAGGAGTCTGTCAGTCAGTCAGAGCGAGCGAGTCAGTCAGTCGAGTCAGAGGCAGTCCGAAACAGAGTCGCGTTCAGACAATTACTACTAAACCTGATTGTTCGTACTAACATTTTCCACTTCTCTGTATATATTCCTGTTTGTAATATATCTGTGTTATTCCATATCCGTGTTCGAGTTCTTCTTTATTGGTTCTCCCTTGGACTACCACCCGGGGTACAAGGAACCGGATCATAACACTTTCTTTCTTATTCGTTTTCTCTTCCTTCAGTTCGTCGTTCTAATATAACAAAAAACTTCTTTAATATTTCAATAAAATCTCTCTATTTTTATTGCAGTTTATATTCCTTTTGTCCACTTCTTTTTGTTTTCTCTTTCTTTTTCATTTACCAACTCAAGCATTTTTCAATTTTGGGGCAATTCTTTTAGAAATAAGTTTATTGCTAAGGAATAATTTCTCATATTTCGTAATGTATTTCTGATCTCTTATAAAATAGCTGCAGTTTATATATTTATATCGTCTTTTCCTGCCTTCCTTACTTCCTTCCCCTACATGCAAGCTGTTACTGGTCCGCTGGCGGACCGCAGATGGCAACGCCATCGGTCCTCTTGTGGCAGCCATCAGCGGCCAAATCGTGGGCTACGAGCAGTACGCAAGTGGTAATATTGCCGAGATGAACAGCGGGCCACCAGTGATAAACGCTAGTGACATGCCATCCAGTGGCAAATTCGGTGGATTGCGTATAGGGTCTTTCTTTCTTTCCTTCCTTCCTTCATTCATTCCTAACGTCATTGTTTTTTGGCTGGATTCTCTTCTTTAAACTACAGAAAAACCTAGTCCTGGAGATTTCGACCCCCGCGACAGCACCTCCCTCATTAGAATACCGAGGCCAGCGTGATGGTAATCGCCGGGACTGACAAATTTGGGATTGATCGATGACAATCTGATATTAATACTGATTGACTGATTGATTCATTTTTACGGCTTATCAACCATATCAGTGGATTTTTTTCTTTTTTAAGCGTTTCACCCCAAGCAAGGCAGGAAACCATTAGCACGCAAGGGGTTACAGAGAGTAGGAGCAAGAGCAATGAGAAGTGATAGAGGAAAGGATGAAAAGAAGGATAGGTGATAGATCAGAGTATCTGGAGACGTCGATTGACGTTACATTTGAATAGTTGGAGATTGTAGCTATCAGGGAAACAAAACATGTGTGGGGGAGTTCCACAGGTGAGAAGTACGAGACATGAAGCTATTGGAGTAAAAGAGACCGTTTAATAGTTTCGACAGTGAAAGGGTAAGAGCGAGACGCCAGCCTAGTAGAACGCTTAAATTCATGAAGTCTGGGAACCAGCCAATGGACAGGAAATGAGGGATTGAATTCGCCAGCGGAATTAAAATGCCATGACCTTCTGCATTGGTTACTTTGCGTATTCGGTTGTTTCTTTGTTTGGTATTTCCTTCGTTTTTTTTCTTTCTTCTCGATGGAAGGAAGTCGTTCAATTCTTCTTCATTTTCTTACTGAACATCTTATCATCTGTCATTGCTTCTTTCATTCTTTCTTTCTTATCATCCGTCATCTTTCTATCGTTAATTTCTTTCCTATTCCTGGGTATGGCGATAAACTACAACCGGCAGCAAGGCCTCTGATCGGAAGATTGGAAGTTTTAAGGAGTGTAGAACCACCTCTTAATTGCTGCTGTTCCCAAGTCAACCCTAACTCGAAGTGGTAGCACCTGTTAGGGTCCCGGCTATGAGCAAATAATGAACCCCCCACCCAAACAAAAGCAAAACATTATGAAAGTAAAAAAAAATACATTTTTATAGTAAAAATACCAGCAGTACATTCTTCTATAACAAAAATTTACCGACACTATTTGAGGCATAGCTGTGATTGAAGGCATACAATTGCGTTTAAAATATTTAGATTTCGGCATTAAATAACCCATAGAGGTGTTGATATGCCGTTAAACAAATTCAACCAACACATATTTCTTTCTTCTTTTGTTTTTATCGTCTTTTTCCTTTCTGGTTATTTTTATTCCTTATTACCTTCTTTCTTTCTTTCAGTTTCATCTTCTTAGATTCTTTCTTTTTTCTTTCTAATCAACTTTTTTCTTATATTTCTTTCTTATCATTTATATTTATTTTCATTTTCTTTCTTTATTTCTTCTTTTCCATCTTTTCTTTATTGCTTTAGCATTTTCTTTCTTTTTTTCTAATCAGCTTTCTTCTTTCTTACATATGTTCTTTCCTCTTTTCTACTCTCTTCCTTCCTTCCTTTCTTTCTTTCTTTCTTTCTTGGTTTTTCTGATCATCATTATTTCTCATTACCTTCTTTCTTTTTTCTTTCTATCTTCTTTTCTTTTTCCCATTTACTCACACATCATTTTCTTCCTTCCCTCCTTCTTTCTTTCTTTCTTTTACGATCATTCTTTCCACATCTTAAGCTCATTCATTCTTCCTGTCTTATTTTGTTTCTTTCTGAATATCATTCGTTCTTTCTTTCTTTCTTTCTTTTTTTCTTTGTTTTTTATAATCCTTCGTTATTTCTGCCATTAATTTCTTTCTTATATTTTTATTGTCTTTCTTTCTTTTTCTGATCATCTTTATTTCTTACTACATTCTTACTTTCTTTTTTCTTTCTATCTTTTTCGCATTTCCTTGTCATTTTCTCCCTTTTCTCTTTCTTTCTTCCTTTCTTTCTTTCTTGCTTGCTTTCTGTCATTAATTTCTTTCCTATGTTCTTTCTTTCTTTCGGTCATTAATTTCTTTCCTATGTTCTTTCTTTCTTTCTTTCTTTCTGACATTAATTTTTTTCCTATTTTTTTTTCTTTCTGTCATTTCTTTCTTTCTGTTTTTTATTAATTTCTTTCCTATGATCCTTGTTTCTTTCTTTCTTTCTGTCATTAATTTCTTTCCTATGTTCTTTCTTTCTTTCTTTCTTTCTTTCTATCTGAAATTAATTTCCTTCTTTCTTTCTTTCTTTATTTATTTATTTCTGTATTAATTTCTTCCCAACGTTTTTTTTTGTCATTTCTTTCTTTTTCTTTTTGTCATTTCTTTCTTTCTTTAATTTCTTTGTTCTTCCTTTATTTATTTCTTTTTTCTTTCTTTATTTCTTCCTCTTTTTTCCTTTATTTCTGTCATTAATTTCTTTCCTATATTCTTTCTTTCTTTCATTCTCATTAACTTCTTTCTAATTTTCTGTCATTATTTTTTTTCCTATGTTCTTTCCTTCTTTCATTAATTTCTTTCCTATTTTTTCTTTCTTTCTGTCATTTCTTTCTTTCTTTGTTTCTTTCTTTCCTTCTTTCATTAATTTCTTTCCTATGTTCTTTCTTCGTTTCTTTCTTTCTTTCTTTCTGTCATTAATTTCTTTTCTATTTTCTTTCTTTCTGTAATATCTTTCTTTCTTTCTTTCTTTCTTTCATCAATTTCTTTCCGATGTTCTTTCTGTCTTTCTTTCTGTCATTAATTTCTTTCTTTCTGTCATTAATTTCTTTCCTTCTTTCTTTCCTTCTTTCTTTCTGTCATTAACTTCTTTCCTATGTACTTTCTTTTTTCTGTCATTAATTTCCTTCCTATGTTTTTTCTTTCTTTCTTTCTTTCTTTCTGTCATTAATTTCTTTCCTATGTTCTTTCTTTCTTTATTTTTTCTTTATTTCTTTCTTTCTTTCTTTCTTTCTTTATTACTGTCATTATCTTCTTTCCTACTTTCTTTCTTTCTTTGTTCCTTTCTTTCTTTTGTATCCTCTATTAGTTTCTATCTCTTCCAGTTCCCCCCTCTTAGTCCTGCTCTACCCCCCCCTCATTATCTTCACTTTATACTTTTCTTTCATACTCTATTCTACTTTTCTCCCTTCTTTGCTTACACAACAACATCCTTCTCTCCCAAACTTTGCCACCCTCTCTTTTTCCGTGTCAACTTTTCTATACCTTCCCTTTATTATCATCACCCACTTCTCCTCCTACTACTTTTTTCTTCTTCTTTTTCTTCTCCTCCTCTTTGTCTTTCTTCTTCTTCTTCTTCTTTGTTCGACTTTTTTCTTCATGTTTTTCTTTATATCCACCTACTTCTTCACTTTTTCTCCTTTTTTTCTTCTTTGCTTTATTCATCGTTTTTCATCCTTTCCCATAGCCATCAGCAGCCGCACCCATTATCCCTTGTCCTGCTGGGTCAACTCCACCCACAATTTGAAGCATTTATTTTTCTCTACTTCTTTAAAAAAATAAAAAAATAAAAAAATAAACGCTTTTTCATTCAGCCTGGCAAGTCCACTCTGTCCAGATAAAGTCCCAGATATTCATAATTAATAACGCACCTTCACACTAGAATTCTTCTCAGAGTGTTACTTAAACTCGAGTAACATTAATCCTATTCAGGCTCCCCCCCTCCAGTACCTTCTTTCACACCATCTCCAATCACAATTTCATCATGGCGCAGATGATATCAAACTTTCGTCAGATCGCTAATGTCTGCGGTCTCATGTCTCGTTTTTCTTGTAAATATAATTCAGTGTAACCCGGATATAAGAGAGTTGTCGGGACCGGAGAAGAAGTCTCTTATATCCGGGTTTCTCTTATATCCGGGTTTGGTCTATTTTATATACATTAACACAGGCTCTAATTTGGGACCAGAGAAAATCTCTCTTATATCCGGGTTTCTCTTATATCCGGGTTACACTGCAGCCAATTTTTCTTCCTATATTTCTAGTTTCTTCAGTACTCGAGCAACGTCTAAATATTTTCCATTTCCTTTAATTTTAAGCTGGAGTTCTCGTCTGCGTTCAGGACTTGATATAATATTATATCTTTTTTATAACAAAGATTGAATACCACACGTTTGCATAATTTCCTTTCCTGTACTGTCCAGGGTATGACGATAAACTGCATCCGTGTCCTGGGTAAGACGATAAACTATGTCCGACAGCAAGACCTCTGATTCAGGAGATTTTGAGGAGCATGGAATCACCTCTTAATTGCTGGTGTTCCCAGGTCCACCTTGGCCAGGTGTAGTAGTACCTGTTAGGGTCCCAGGTATGGGTAAATAGTTAACCCCCAAACTGGTGTCAAAACAATATGAAAGTGGAAAAATAGGTTTTAATACTAGAAATAATACTTTGTAAAAAATTATTATCTGCAAATCATTTTTGAAAAAAATATTACCAGCAACACAGTTTTGGAAAAAATTCTTACCGGTAATGCATTTTTGAAAAAAGAAATATTACCGACAATGCATTTTTGAAAAAAAAAAAATTATTACCAGCAAAATATTTTTCAAAAAAAAATATTAACAGCAATAGATTTTTGGGAAAATAATATTACCAGAAATAGAAATTGTCGGCATTAAGGTTGATATACCGTAAAGCAAACCAAACCAAACCAAACCTTTCCTGTCCGATCAGATTTATTCACTATTCTTGTTAGAATCGCTTTTTATTTGATTGGCGGTCTTATCGCCCTTTTACTTGGACGAGTTAATATTACTGAGATTTACATCAACTGATAAGCTGTATCTGGAGAAGAAAAAAAATGGGAAATTTGAATATGAGTGAATATAAAAAAATAATTTATAAAATAATATAATTTTCTTCGGGAACACTAACTTCCCAGTGGAGAAAATGACTGGTTACATTCAATGCCTCAAAGACCAAACTAGTTTTATTCGATCACCGCCGATCAGACCCTGAACTACATGCTTTGAGAGAATATTGGACCTCAAACTCACACCCGACCTCAAAAACTAAACCCGATCACACCCCGAACTAACGCCAGTCACGATGAACGAATACCTCCTCGCGGAGGATTCATGCTTTGAGAGAATATTGGACCTCAAACTCACACCCGACCTCAAAAAATTAAACCCGATCAGACCCCGAACTACCGCCAGTCACGATGAACGAATACCTCCTCGAGGAGGATTCATGCTTTGAGAGAATATTGGACCTCAAACTCACACCCGACCTAAAAAAATTAAACCCGATCAGACCCCGAACTACCGCCAGTCACGATGAACGAATACCTCCTCGAGGAGGATTCATGCTTTGAGAGAATATTGGACCTCAAACTCACACCCAAATTCTTATAGAGGGTCAAAAGTTAAAGATGCGGGTAAAAATGATCGGCTCCCTGTAAAGCTCCAGTAAGTACCCTACTCCTCATGTAAAAACTGGTAAGCTCCCAAGACTTATAGCTGAAGCAACGCCTCGAAAACTAAACCCAATCAGATCTTGAACCACCGTCAGTCACGATGAAGGAGGAGGCTCCATACTTTGAGAGAATATTGGGCCTCAAACTCACACCCGACCTCAAGTGGATTCAACCATTTCCTTTTGATTTCATGTCAACACAGCAATAATAACAATATCTCCACACGTGACACTAATTGACGTAATTTTCAGTTAACAGCATGAAAATGGCGTTCTCTAAATTCTTCCAGTTGCTAAGGACATTTTGTTTTTGTTATTATTAGTTACTTTGTTTAAATAAATTCATTTCATTTTTTGCTTTGAGAAAGTCCACATGGGACGAAACGCGTCGGCAACTGTTACAGTTTTCCTATTGTCATTTATATTTATAAATATTGTCTTTTCTACAGGTTAACTCTGAGAAATTTTCATATATATATATATATCAGGTCATCCCATAAGTTTTGTCCGAATTTTGAATAAAGAAAACAAGTGACTAAATGTTACACTTAATTACAGATTCAATCAACAATGTATTTTCCCTGATTATCTATGACTTCCTTCCATCTATTAACAAGCTTACTAATTCCATTACTGTAAAATTCTTTTGGCTTTGATTCGAATAACTCACAAATGTCAGTTTTAACCTCTTCCTGTGTTACAAAAGCTGTTTCTTCCAAATGATTCTGTAAGCTACGAAACAAATGGTAGTCTGAAGGAGCAAGATTGGGAGAATAAGCTGGACGAGGAATTTTCTCCCAACCAAGTTCTTCGATCTTTTGTGACGTGATTCTTGCTGTGTGGGGTCGCGCATTGTCCAGATGAAACATCACCCCTTTTCTATTCACTAGAGCAGTTTTTGTTTTCCTCAAAGCTTGGTTCAAACGCTCTAATTGCTGACAGTATATTTGAGCATTAATTGTTGCATTATGTTGTAAGAATTCAAAGTGGATTATTCCTTGGCGATCCCACCAGATTGAAAGAAGAACCTTTTGCCCATGAAGTCCCCTTCTCGGCTGTGGCTGGGGTCCTTCCCCTTTACCAAGCCACTGTCTACGACGCTTAACATTTCGATAAAAGATCCATTTTTCGTCGCCAGTCACAAGTCTATCAAAAAAGGTGAAACATTTTGGGAGAATGGAGAAGAGAAGATGTCAACTCGGGATTTGAGGTTGTTTTCAGACAATTCATGAGGCACCCATTTTCTAAGTTTAGGAACTTTTCCAAGTTGTTGAATATGACGATGAACAGTTGTATGGTTTTAACTGAGAACCACTGCCAATTCATCAACTGATAAAGCAGGATTTTCTTCAAGGGCTGCTGCAAGAAGCTTTTCATCAAACTCAATTGGACGTCCGGGTCGATCTTCATCTTCAAGGGTGAAATCTCCACCTCTGAATTTTGCAAACCATCTTCTGCAAGTTCTTTCATTCACACATTCCTCTCCATAAACTGAGTGAATGTTTCTAGACACTTCGGCTGCTGAGTTTCCTTTCTTGAACTCATAAAGCATTATGTGCCTGAAATGATTCTTGGGTACTTCCATGTTAGCAGGGTTTTAATCAAATAAAATTTAATTTTGTTGTTCTCTGAAATAAAATTTGATCAGTTTAAATGCATCTAAACATAAAAATAATGTTCAGCTCCATTAGATATTATAAAATACTCTTTAAATTTCGTTCATTTTAACAAAAAGTTAAAATTCGGACATGACTTATGGTATGGCCTGATATATATATATATATATATATATATATATATATATATATATATATATATATATATATAATTATTTATTCAAAAATTAGAACATAAACTTTTTATAAAATCACTACAAAAATAGCCATTTCGTTTCAACACTTCTGGTGTCTTATCAAATGATGGTATTGAATGTCATTCAGTACCATCACTATTTTTGTAGTGATTTTATAACATACTAACAGTAGAGCCCGGCGTTGCCCGGGGATGTAACAGTAAGCGATAGATCAAGTATGGACGATCATAAAGACTGAAAAATAAAATTGACAAAGATTATTGTTTAAGGTTGACGGACACGCATGTCTTAATTAGTTTTTTTTTTTTTTTACGAATTGGTCAAACCCAAATTCAAACGAAAACATTGTTTACAATCGTTATGAGTTATGGAAATAATACAGTAATTCCATCTACGTTTTACGCGCGCGCGAGTTTTCCTCCCTTCCTTCCACACTTGTGCGTGTGTGCGCGCGCGCGTCCACTGATTACACCCCTTCCTTTCTCGTTAAGCTAAATATAGTAGTAAACCTTTTCTTTAGTTATTTAAAACTAATTACAAGTTATTCTCGTTTTATCAGCTCCTGCTGATATCACCAATCTAACAAATTTAAATTACCGTTTTTCTCTAACGTCACGGACAAACTAATCGTTTGAGTTCAGTCGGGCTAAAAATTTCGATCCATGAAGTTGACTCATTTATCCCTCGTCAGTCAACCTTAAATACAGACAGGGATATCTTACTGACAACAAATAATTTTTCATCCTTTTTGGCTCGTCGCAAATAATTTTCATCAAGACGATGCAACCAACAACAAATAGGTCTTCGTCCCTTTTGGCTCGTCGTAAATAATTTTTAGCAGCAAATTCAATGCCTGATCCCAAAATCTGAGATGACTGAACTTTCTCACTACCGTGAACCTGAACAAAAAAGGGTATATAAAAAAAAACAACACAAAAACACTACACACACTTACAATACCCAAATCCACAGTAAGTACTTTTTTTTATCTGTGCACATCTACACCTCGTGTTAAAGAGTTCCTTTTCCAAAACTTTTCCCGCCTTGTTCACCTTGCTATCCTATTTTGGT